CAAAATGGGAGATACCTCCTTAATGGCGCCCATCTCTTTAACAATTGCAGCTTCTTTCTCTGCACCATTATTTTCCACCATGTAACCTTCCCTACATTCCTGCTTTCCTTACCAAACTGCGTTTTTCACACCCTTCTGGCCCAGCTGCTGCTATCATTCTAAATCTGGATTAGCAGCAGTGAGTCATAACCATGGCACAGCCTGAATGCTCTCCTGTCTTGAGCATTCCTCTGCTGAATAAATTAATTTATTATTTTGAAGTCAGCCTCATTCAAACTCTCAGGACAGAGTACAGCTAGTCTGACAGAGTCCTGGCTCCCCTCTGAAACCTCATGAGCCAGAACTCTGATCTCCACATGTCTCCTGACATTCCAGTTTTCTGAACTCCCATCAAAATAGTACATTCAGCTCTGTTTACAGCATTCAAGGGCTTTTCTAACTTGAAGTTCAAAATTGTTCAATGTTCCCCTCACAAGCCTGTTCCAAAGCATACTTATGGATCACTACAGAAGAAGAAATGGGGAGAGTACACAAGCCAGAGGTGGAAGATCAATACAAGAAAAGTATGTGGTCTATACATAGCAGAGCATTTGTGTGTAAGAACACACAATGCTTGTAACAGCACACACAAGATCTGTGCAGACACGAGCTAGACAATCCCAGCACAGATAGTGGAGGTGAACAGGAAGTCCCAACCCTAGCTGAGGACCTATTGGCAATCAATAGCTGCCAGGAGAGGGAGAGTCAGTTTTCTTTAAAGGTGCCTGCCTGATAGGTTGACCAGAAGAGATGGACCCCCATCCATCCAAAAGCATTTAGTACAAAGTACATTGTATGCAATTCTCAAAGAATCAATACTTTTTAAAAAGAATTGTATGTTGGGCTTATCCCAGCAATGACCTCATTTCTCTCTATATTGGTTACCTTAATAGTTGCCATGACAAAATAACTGAAAAGAACAATTCAAAGAAGAAAATGTTTTATTTTGCCTTAGAGCTTAAGAAGGAATATAGTCCGCAACGGTGGGGAAGTTGGGGCCGCATGATTATGAGGTAGCTGGTTTCATTGCATCCATTGTCAGGAAGCTGGTCCAGGCTATAGAACCACAAGGCCAGCCCCTAGTCACCCTCTTCTCATAAAGTTCTACCTCCCAAAGGTTTCACAACCTTCCAGAGTGACTACACCAGCTGGGACCAAGCACTGAAACCAATGAGTCTGTGGAGGACATTCTACATTCCAACCACCTCAGTGAGGAACTAAGGGTACCAGGAAGAGCATGGCTTTATAGTGCACGATCAAATGTCATAGGGATCAAAATGTGGCAAATATTCTGAAGATAAGGTCTTAAGAAACTGGAGCTTGGTGGTAAAGCAGTGGCTGCACCCGTGCAGTGGGTGGACGAGGTGGGCAGTAACCTGCATGTGTCTGCAAAGGGTGGATTTGAGATTTAGAACCCTAGACATCATTCTGAAGACAAACAAGTCATGAGTGGAACTGTGCTGAATGCTGAATAAATGAAGACAGGGTGAAGGGCATTGCACTTGAGGAAGTTAAAGTGAAGCCAAATTCAGAGATGAGTCATTATTGAGGATGTAGAAGTTGCCAAAAGGGAGATTATGATTGCAGAGGAAGCTGAGCCAGTCCTGAAGTCATTGAAGAAAGGAGCAGTGCGACATCAGACATGACACGGGGCACCTGTTAACTAGGCTTTGCACATAAATTCTCCTAAGTAATATATTGACATTGATATACTCTGGCCCCTTTTCCTACAGCTCCATTATGTGTGAATATCATGCAGATTTTGTTAAAATAATATGTAACTAACCCAGAACAAAGTCACACGTATGTCTTCCGTCCAAAATACTGTGAGCATTTTGCGTGTTGGTCTGCCTTTATCCTAATTTTAACTTGTTTTGTTTTGTTATTGTTTTGAAGTGTTAGTACTTGGCAGTTTTCTCTGGTGTTCAGATATGTAGTTTTATTTTCTTATTTTTAATGGTGAATTTCCTTTATCTTATAAACCCTTCATTGGGTTGCCCCTTATTTTAGTGAGACTCTGAGATTTTTAGACATTGTGTTTCTGAGAAAAAAATAATGGCAATCTGAGTAAGTGCATTGAGGTCTCTCTCTGCTCTTGTCTACCCATTATTGAGCAAATTAAAAAAAAATCTAATTAGCCATCATTCACATCACAAGATAATGTGGTTAGCATGCTAGAAAATCTGTCTTTGGTACTCAGTGGTCTCCATTCTCTTGAGAGGGATCTCAAGTCAAGAAATAGATAGTTACTTTTCTCTGTGGGAAAAAATACCTTTTAAAAAAGTAATGTTCAGGAAGAAAGATTTCTTTTACTTCATGGTTTGACAGGTTTCAGTTCAAGGTTGCTTATTGCCACATACCTAAGCAGAATGTCCTGGGCTTGGAAGCATGTGACAGAGGAGAGGTGTTTACTTCAGATTCAACCCGAATGGAGCAAAAGGAAGCTATAAAGAGGCAGGGGCCTAGAGACGGCTCAGCTGGTAAAGTGCTGGTCACACAAGCTTGAGGACCTGAGTTTGGTCCCCAGACCCCACGTAAAAAGCCTGGAGTAGTGGCTCACGAATGCCTCCCAGTTCTCCAGAAGCAGAGAAAAGAGAAGCCCCTGGGCTTCCTGGTCATCCACCCTAACAAAGTCATCCAGCAGCAGGTTAGAGAGAGACTCAGTTTTAAAGCGGGGTGGGTGTTGCTGGAAAGATGACTCAGCAGTTAAGAGCACTGGCTTCTCTTGAAAAGGATCTGGGTTTGGTTTCCAGCACCCACATAGTGGCTAAGAACCATCTGTAACTCCAGTTCCAGGGGATCTGACACCCTCTTCTGGTCTCTGCAGGCATTGCACACATGTGGTCCACTTACATGCATGTAGGCAAAACACTTGTCCACATAAAATAAAAATAATATATAAAAAAGAAAATAGTAATAGTAGTTCAGTACAATACATAAAGTTGACCTCTGTAGAAAGAGAGAGAGAGAGAGAGAGAGAGAGAGAGAGAGAGAGAGAGAGAGAACGGTAAGATATACCCACAAGCATATGACTCCTAGTAACGTACATATTCCAACTATGCCTGACTTCCTGCCTTTCACCCTCTCTCAAAAATGCCACTCTGTTATGAATCTATGAAGAGCATAATCTTTATACTAGGTCAAGGTAGGCTTCATGATCCCATCAGCTCTAGAAATACCCTCAGAGACATAACTCAGGATCCAGTCAGCTCTGGAAAGGTCTTCACAGACACAAAGAGGTATGCTCCAATAACCACCCAGGGATTTACTAATCTTATGGAGTTGACAAAATTAACCATCATGGTAAACGACAATATACTCTTGCCCTGGTTTCACCTGAGTCTAGCTTTCAAGATTTTCACTTGATAGGCTTCATGGAAAGTTTGTCCAGATGAGGGCGCCCTGTTTCTTACTCTTGTCCGTCTGTTGAGGTGGCTACTGTCATCTAAGCAGTCTTGTCAATCAGAAGTACCCTCGTCATCTTCAGCAAATCTTTGCAGTGCCCCTCTGATCATATGATTGAGAGTACCTGGTATCACCGTGGCATCATTAGACACTTCCGGGATAGAAACTGTAAAGAAAGTGAGGTTTAATCAAAAACCCCAACAGTGTCTTCCTGGTGACCTCTTTTTGCTCTAAGGCAACAATATTTACTGTAAAATTATTGTATTGTCTTTCTGGTGACCTACATGTTTAACCAATTGATTGTACTTTGCATGAAAATCAGTGCTTTTTTTCCTGGTTTACTTTGCTATCAGTATAATGCAAAATCTGTTTGCCTGAATTAGGTTGCATTTCATTAATCTTTTAAACATGAAATTGTAATGCTTCAAGGTTAATGGGATTTAAGAATATGAGTTTTAAATTGTGATATATTTCAAAGATGTTTCTCAAAATTCCTATTTTTGTAGTGTAAAAGTATAAATGATATTTAAAGCTTTGGTAAAGTTGATCAAACTTTAGATTACTGAGCATCTCCAAAAGTGAAATATTCAGGCTATTTCAGAAATGAATTAGAGAATTATAGATGAATGTTTTCTAAGGCAAGGGACATGATGTTCACTAAAAAGGTAAACAGATGTGAATTACCAAGGAAGTTCATGGAGAGGACAGGTTACTCTAGACTGGGTACTAGTCTACATTTCATGGTCATCTTTCATACCTAGCTCAACTGTATCTTAATCATCTCCTTCCTTCTTAATTCCTTATTCATTGACTCAATTATATATATTCAAAGCTTCTAATGTGTCAGACACTGTATTGGATACTAAGGATGTAAATAAATAAAGCACCATTTTGTCTCTTTAAGTGTCCCATTAATAGATGTTCTGTAAACAAATAATGACACTCAAGGGTTGTGTCATGCTAAAGCTTTGCACAAAGTGCTGTTGGGGACAGGGGGTCAGTTAAAAGCTGATGTTTGTGCCAGGGTTGTAATGGGGAGTGTTAGAGACATCTTATAAACCAAGAAACACATTTGCACTCAGTTGGGAGAATCTGAAGGTCAAATAATTGTTGACTAGGCAGGCAGGAGAAAAGAGCCTGACAAAAGGAATTACAAACTCAAAGTCATTGTTATAGGCTATATATTTGCATTTCAAAAGCAACTCAAGTTGTCTCCAAATCGGCTTCAAAATAATTTAAATATCTCATTTATTTTTAACAATCTTTGAACTAAGACTAAACTCAGAAAATGATTTACCTGATCACAGACATTCAAGAAAACAAATTGTTAAAATGAAAAAGCCAAACCAAGAGTTTGACTGAAACAGGTCCCTTTCAATATACCATGGTATTTAAAAGAGAAAACACCTATATTTTATTGATATTGATTTTCATAGTATTGATTCTTATGTTAAGCTTTGTTTTAACAGTTCTTAGAGGTCAGAATATAGATGAGGAATGAGCTCGTCTGAAAAAAAGCATTTTGTTAAATGAATTCTTGTTTCTCCCTGCCCTAGATTTAGGAGTATTCACAACCCACCAGTTTCTACTTGGTGCATGCACACATGCAGGGTCCATAAACAGCTCCAGAGTCATCCCACATATGGCAGAGCTATCACCAGAGCAAGTAGATGCCCCAATGTTGACTGTCCTGGATTCTAGAATTATACATGTACAGTAAGTAGAAATCTTGCTTCTTGCACATGATGGTTCACATAAGAAACCCAGTGAATTCAATCAGAAGGGCTTGTGATATCAGGTTAATTGTCTTGTGATTAAATGCATGATTAGACTAGTAGTTCTAGGAACCTTTGATTACTGCTTGCCACCTTAATTTCCATTTTGTCTTTATGTAATCAGGCCAAGCTATGCATGTATACAACTTCTGTGCAGTCATCAGTAAAAGAAAACTGACCACTTACCCACTTTCAGATATTGATGTGTGGAGTGTATTTTTGTAACAATTTGTAAAAATTAGAATAATGCACATATAAATATATACATATCTATAACTTCTTTTAAAGGACTTATTTGTTGAATTTGATATATATGAGTGTTTGTGTGCTTGTATGTATATGCACCAGGTGCATGCAGTGCCTGGGAAGGCCAAAAGAGGGCATCAGATCCCCTGGAACTGGAATTACAGGTGGTTGTTAGCCACCACGTGATTGCAGAGAACCAAACCCAAGTCCTTTGCAAAAGCAGCCAGTGTTCATAACTGCTGAGCCGTTTCTCCCAATCAAAACATTTTTCCCCTTAATCCTGAATAGCTGAAGTAAGAGAGGAGCATCACATGTAGTGATTTTAGTGGTTTTTTTTTTTGTATTTGTGGGTTTTTCCATCTTTCATTGTATGCGGTACTGATTTAAAATTTAATAGATTTCCCTTACCATCAATTAGAGTTTATTCATTTTTACCTTTTGTCCCAATTTTCTCAACTATAAAATAAAAGTTGACACTGAGTACATTATGACATTAATTTAAGCTGAAAAGCATTATTATCAGTTTTTGTTGTTCTGAGGCTAAACTGCCATATTGAGCATCCATTGCCTTAAATCAAGTCACATTTCTTACTCCAAAATTTCCCCACTTCTCTGAGTATTTCTCAGTTGAGTTTTCTTTTAAAAAATATTTTTGTTTTTATTTAATGTGTATGAGTATATTGCCTGCATGTATGAAAGTACACTGTATCATGCAATGCCCGAGGAGGTCAGAAGATGGCATCAGATCCCCTGGAACTGGAGTTACAGACGGTTGTTAGCCAACATGTGGGTGCAGGGAATCCAACGCGGGTCCTCTGTAAGAGCAGTCAGTGCTCTTAACTGCTGAACCAACTCTCCAGACCCCTCAGTTGAGTTTTCTGTCTGTTCTGCAACTATTTTCTCACCCCCTGATGTGCCATAACCCCCATCTGAAGTGACCTTTACACTTCATCCCATCCATCCAAATCCCCCATGTGAACATAAAACCACGCAATAGGGCAGCATGTCCCTCATTCCGAAAGTTCTGCCGAAAGCCTCTGCCCCTGGGTGTCTACTCATTGCGGAACATCTTCTCCCTATGTTGGATTTCTGGGATTTTCAGGAGTGCTGTGTTACTCTTTCTCTCCCTTACATACCTCATCAGTACTCAGATATTGTGTCTCCCTGTTTTTGGACAACAGCCTAAATTCAAGGTAAAAATGTGCCCCCATGGTTTTATATTGCTAGCCATTTAAAATCATAAGTGACTAGAGGTTGGGAAGGTGGCTCAGTGGATAAGAGCATTTGCTACACAAGCATGAAAATCTGTTTCCAGTCCCCAGATCCCATGTGAAAATCTGAGTGTGGTCACACAAGCACTGTGGGGTGTGAAGGAAAAGATCTCTGGGGCTTGCTGGCCAGCTGTTCTAGCTACAGGGAGTTCGGTGAGAGTCCCCCATCTCAAGGGATTAAGGCAGAGAGTCATGGAGTAGGACACCAGTGCAAGCACACACACACACACACACACACACACACACACACACACAAATAATAAGTAACTAGAGCAGGAACTGTGTCCCATTTTCTTTGTGGTACTCTGACTAGCCATTTGAAAATTACATGTATATTTTTACAAATGATTCACCGTTAAGCTTTCTATGTGATTTTCTTTTAATTATTTTCTGCTGCTTTTTTTTTTAATGCGTATGCGTGTTTTGCTTGCATGTAAGTGCACCTGTGTCATGCAATGCCCACGGAGGCCAGAAGAGGGTGTCAGACGGTTGTTAGCCCATATGTGGGTGCTGGGAACTGAATTTAGCACCCAGCCAGTGCTCTTAACCACTGAGCCATCTCTCCAGCACCTCTATGCTATTTTTCAACAGTGGCATCAATCAGAGTTCATGCAAATGAACTCTGCAAATCCAGTGCGGTCCAATTTCAGTGTGAATGAATGATTCTGATAAAGCTGTCATTTCTTCCATTCCCAGGTGGAAACAACCAAGGCAACTAAATGGAGGTCTTGAACGCTACATATGGTACATTTCACATCATACACAGAATTCCACAAAATGGAATGCTGTCTACAACGGCACCAAAAAGCCCCAGGATTACCTGCTACAGATCCTGTCCCCTGGGAGTAAATACCTTGTCAAGCTGGGAGTAAGTCAACTAATTATTTCTATCACTTTGTCTCTCCCCAACTCTCTTTAGTTTCCACTTTGTCTTTATCCATCTTTCCTCCTCCATAAAACAACAACAACAACAACAACAAAACACCAAAAAAAAAGCAAAACAAAAAAAACTCATGTATTGGCATTGATATTGAAAACTGCCTGTGTGCCCTAATTGTGAAGTCTATTGATTAACGACCTGAATAGTTAGTTTATATTATAGAATATGCTAGAACAACCACCTGAATTAGATTTTCCTAAATCTCCTTTGAGATTATCAGAACTATTTTTTTTATTATTTGTAGAACACTATGATTGTTGCGAGCTTTTCTCAAAATGCTTCAATTAATAAGGCTGTTGCCTGTGGTGCCTGCATTCATTTGAAAAACTGTGCACAGTATGACTTCAGATCTTGTATTTTTAACTGAAGCTTCAAATGACCCCCAAATATTCTTGATTGTTGTTGTACTGTGATTTACATTGTGCTTCTGTCGTGAAAAGCAGACACTTAATAAATTCTTAGAATCAACAGTTTAGAGGTTTTCTTAGGATGAAAATGGTTTTTAATGCAAAATAGCACTTTTATATGAAGGTCTTTTAAAAGACCTTGATATTATTCTAGAATTTGTACTCAGTAGTTTCTTTTGGTTTTTGATGAAATATAATCTTTTTTAAGTTTAATAGCACATCTGAAATAACTGAATATAAACATGAGATTGTCCCTATTTGTTTTAAACACACTCTTCATTTTACAGCAATACCTATATAAGGATATTTGCTTTGATAAATGCCATAGAAAATATTCTGCTCTTGATTATGAATAAATTTACATTTATGTAGACACTGTGTGCATTCATTTTCCTTAGCGTGCTCTTGAATGCTCCGAATATTATACCACTTGAAAATAAGCTACATTCAACTGTTGCTAACTGTCCAACTTGACACCACAAAGCAAGGGCACCCAGGCAACGTTAGATGCCTGAGTGTCTCGCTGCTCGGCGCAGCTTATAGATTTGTGAAATGACAATTTGGGTTTCTTACAGTGGTGTTACTGAAGAGCTAAGCAGTTTGCACTAACTTGATTTTCAAAACCTAATGTTGAAGTGCACACTATTTTCAAAATAGCCACACATATGAAAATCACAGTCTCCATTAAAACAGAATTGTTGGAGTTTGCGGTTTTATCAGAAGGAGGTAAATAGGGTAGAAAAAGTTCTCCCAAAACAATTTTCAGAATCCATCGCAATATGCTGTGTTTCATAATTTGCTATCTCTTGAAAAATTAGTGACACTAACTTAGTGGTCTGTTCCCTTGAGTTTTAATTCAGTTTACTACCCTACCCTCTAACCTATATGCCAAGTACACTGAAGCACACTGAGTTTCATTTCCTTCAAGACTGAAATTAGGACATTGAACTCACTGAGAGCCCTAAAATTCTATGATGCTACAAAGGTAACCTCAAACAGTATTCAATGGAGCCAAATAATACATCTCAGGTCCTGAATAATGCAGGTGTCAGAGGCCATAAAGATGTAGGGGTCATTTTTTGTTGTGTTGTTAATTATTTAATAACCACACACTTAGAGGAAGCATTTCATTACAACAGCATTGACATATTCAACAACAATTTTCTGAGCTAAGATGCATCTTTTTCAGAATTGGCTGTAAATTTTTAGGTTTACAGTTAAATTATTACATTTATATAATATTGTACTCAGTATAAACCCTATAAGACATAAAGGTAAATAAGGTTTTAACCTTTAAAAAAGAACTCCATTTCATTATTAAAATACACAGTTTCATACAGAAAAATTCATTTTCAATGCAATTGACATTAAGATGTTTGCACATGCATTTCTAATCTCTATATATCTGATTATTACTAGTGATAGTCAGTTACTTTCTGAGCTCTTGGCATCTGAGAATGAATATAAAGTCATCAGGTAGATTTCAATGGTAATGTTTTTCACATCTACTAATTATTCTTTTAATCATTATTATTATTTCACTAAAGCTTTAACATATTCAGTAACATACTCCAGAGCAAGAGTACATCTCTTTCACAAGTGAGTGCAAGTTTCTAGGTTCACAGTTGAGTTAATACAGTTATACAATATTGTACTCAGTATAAACCCTATAAGACATAAATTAAATGATGTTTTAACCTTTAAAAAAGAACTCCATTTCATTATTAAAATACACAGTTTCATACAGAAAAATTCATTTTCAATGCAATTGACATTAAGATGTTTGCACATGCATTTCTAATCTCTATATATCTGATTATTACTTGTCAAAATCGGTTGCACTTGGATCTTTGGCGCCTGTGTATGTCTATGAAGTCATCGGGTAGATTTCAATGGTAATGTTTATCACGTCTACTAATTAGTATGATGTAAATTTCCCTGCCTCCTCCTCAAATAGAATACATTTTTTAAAATTTGTCGATTTTTTTTTCTGTGTGTGTAATGTTTATCACCTCTACTAATTAACATGATGTAAATTTTTATGCTTCCTCCTTAAATATAGCTCTTTTTTTAATTTGTTGATTTTTTTGTGTGTGTATATCACACAGAACATCTCAAACCACCTTATTCAACTATACACCCACTTCCCAGATGGCACTCTTCTATAGCCTCCCTCCCCCTACTAGAGCCCTTATACTCTGATATCCCTGCTGCTGTCTGCTGTGTTTTCAGAACCCCAGCCATTCCCCACTACTTGCCCTTCTGTTGAATCTAGTCAGCCTATCTAGAGGTCTTTGATTTAGGAGGGTCAGCTGTTCCTCATCTAGCAGCAATCAGTTGTCAATATTCCTTTAGATAAGATTGGGGTCTGCTGTTCATTTTTCCAGTTCTATGCTGGGTTACTAGTTGGGAGTCCTTACCCTAATAGTTGTTAAGGAAATAAATTTGCTCCTGTCCTTTTTAATTTCTCCGTATTTATCAGAGCAGAAAAGATTCTGATGTATTTTCAGGAAGTATTCAACTAAAAGGTTTTTTATTTAACTTGGTTAAGCAGTAGATTAAATGAACCAGAACATTCTAGGTTCATCCTGGTTAATTGAGGGATTGTTGTTTATTTCACAGTTTCAATAAAATAACCAGCTTTCAAGGTCATTAGATAGGTAGGAGAGCAGGTGCTCAGCAAAGTCGAGTGGCCTTTGTAGATTGTCTTAGTGTGTTGACTCAGTGCTGTGAAACAAAGCCCGTAGACAGCAGAGCCCTTCAGCATCCTTTGAAAGAGAGAAAGATCCACAGGGATTTGAACCACGGCAATTTACATGAAACTTGGAGCAGCAGGACTGCTCTGTGTGGCTCCATTTAATTTTTGCATTTGACCAGGTTGCAAGCCAGAGGAACATAGACACTGTGTTGTTCAAACCTCTGTGCGCAGTGTAAGCAAAGTACCTGGAGGAGGCTGGAAGCTCAGAACACGATTCTCCTTAGGGATGAATGACAGACCACCCAGTGCACCCAATGGTTCATAAAGAATCTGAGAGTTTAGATATAAGTAAATAATTTCCCCGGAAATGTTGGTGTTGGAAATTTTGTGATTTCATAGCATTTGCTCTCGACGCTGCAAGAAATCAAGTTAGCAATTGAATAAACTATTATTACAGACTGGGGTCAAGATAGGTGATGTCACTCTTCTTAACCGTGCTACCTAGGCATTAGTCACTTGGTGAATGTTTAACAATGGAAATGGTGAGCTTAAAGTGTGTGTGTGTGTGTGTGTGTGTGTGTGTGGCATATATGTGAATGTGTGTGTGGCATATATGTGAATGTGTGTGTGTGCACAGGTGCGTGTGTGTGCATATGTGTGTGGATCTCAGCAATCAGTGTCAGGTGTCTTCTATCTCTCACTTGTCTGGCCAGGAAATCCCAGGGATCCACCAGCCTCTTCCCCAAAGAGCTGGGGTTCCAGGTACACAGAGCCAAGCCCAGGTTTTTTACGTAGATGATGGGGGTCAGAACTTCAGTTATGCTTACACAGCAGGCACTTTTCCAGCTGAGCCATTTCCCCTGCGCGAAGCTTCACTTTTCAAGAAAAGATTGTTATGGATCAAATGATCTTCGTCTTTATCTTCAAGATTTAAACTAATTCCAGTCTTTCCATCATTGGGCCCTATGTATCTGAAAACAACTATTGGAAAAAGAGAATAATCATTTTAGTAGTTCCTAATAGTCACAGTTTCAAAAATTATTGCTGAGATTCCATTGTGTACGCCTTTCATTTACCACATAAAATCTGCCTTTATATCCGTTGCTATTTGTTCAGACTGGCAACAGGATGTGTTGTAAACTCTGTTTCTGGGTGTCTGTAATCGAATACAAACTATAGGAAGGAGGTTGAAGCATCTTATTACCCTGTCTCACAGGCCCTCATAATAATCTCTGCTTTATAAAAGCATCTTTTTTTTTCCTTTGTCTTTTTGAAACAGGGTCTCCCTGTAGCCCCATTTGGCCTGGAACTCACTATGTAGACCAGGCTGGCCTTGAACTCACAGAGATCTGCCTGCCTCTGCCTCCCAAGTGCTGGGACTACAGGCATGTGCCACCATGCCCGGCTCTATAAAAGCATATTTAATAAATCTAGCTATTTTTTCTAAGTTGAAACATTAGGCCAATCACAAATGAGTCTAAGAATAAGCCCTCTAAATGCATGCAAAAAATGTGGACAAAAATTATAGCTATTTCTGTTGTTTCAACAACTTCCGTGTACACTATTTCATTTGCCAGGAAAACATTCTAACAGTTCTTCCCTGGGCTTCCTTGTAAAGCTATGAGTCCATCAACCTCAGATTATAGTTCGAGGGACAGCCTTCCCAAAGAAGATGTTTTTTATTTATTTTAGAAAATACCATAAAATTCTCAAAAGATACTCAATTTGATGTTATATTTTGTTTAAAGAAATACCTGATTATATTTCATATGGTCCAGTATTTCTTTGGGGAGAAATAGTAAGGGTATGTTTTTATAACAGAGATTTAAAATGAAAAAGAAAATCCCAACAATCACAATCAAATCCCAGAGCGTTTGTTAACAGGAAGGCACCACTATGTGCTTCATCTCTAAGCAAAGGAATTCTGGAAGCTGGTGGACTACCATCTCTCTGAGAAACGGGGAGACTGCGCCTCTCACCGTGTTTACTTTGGTAGCTCAGATGACTCCCATGGCCTCTGCATTATTTACTTTTCGGTTGCCGTGATAAAACACCATGACCAAGGCAACTCATAGAAGGAGGAGTTTATTTCACTTATAGTTCCAGAGAGGTAAGAGTCCATCATGGTGGGGAGGCACGGCAGGAGGCAGCCGGAGCGGAAAACTGAGACCTCACATCTTCAAAGCACCTGCAGGAAGCAGAGAGAGACCAGCTGGAACTGGGTGTAACTATCTACCCTCAAAGCCTGCCTCCATGACCTGCTTCTTCTTGGAGGCCACACGTGGACCTGCAAACAGCACCACCAACTAGAGTCAAGTCATCTAATACTTTGAGCCTATGGGGGACATTTTTCATTGAAACCGTCACAGCCTCTTTTCCTGGGTATTTTATGAGACTTTGAGCACACTGAGATGTATATGTGTTTTCAATTTCTCTTGAAGTTTCCTGCTGGATGGGCTAATGATGGGGTGCCCTGAAGCTTTGGATTAGATCTTGGCCACATGGTCACCTGCTTCTGCTTTATTGGCAAAAGCTCCACGCTTAGGAGGAACAGGACTTTTCTGTTACGTGTATATGTGTGTTTCCCACCTGAAAATTAGGAGAGACCTGGAAAAGTTAGGTAGATCCCCACCTTAGTGCAATTATTTCCAAGGGCTAAGATGTCTCCCAGACAGAACATCTTTAAGTTCCTGACAAGTTATTCTAAAGACATGGGCTGCTTATTGGCAAAAGCTCCACGCTTAGGAGGAACAGGACTTTTCTGTTACGTGTATATGTGTGTTTCCCACCTGAAAATTAGGAGAGACCTGGAAAAGTTAGGTAGATCCCCACCTTAGTGCAATTATTTCCAAGGGCTAAGATGTCTCCCAGACAGAACATCTTTAAGTTCCTGACAAGTTATTCTAAAGACATGGGCTGCTACTGTGTTCTCTCTCTCTTTCCCTCCCTCCCT